CATTTTTTTTTAACAAGTTCGGTTTTTTATTATTAAGGTTCGGTGCAGTTTTCACGAACCCTTACTTATAGTAATTTGGGAAATAATAATTTTTTAGGGATTATATTAACTATTTCATAGCTCCTTTTTTTAGTATTGAAACTTGTTAGCTCTTTTTTTAGTGTTGAGACTTGTTTGCTAAATTTGTATATAATCATGATATTACTCTATTCGCTTGATAAATATTGAAGCATGTTAATTTCATAGGGATGTTAAAAACACTCAAAGAAATATTCAAAACATGAAAAACATTAGCGGAAGGCAAGCTAAAATAAGAGGGAAAAGAAAAAGTAAAAAAGGGGAGAAAAATAAAAAGAAATTAGGCAAGTTAACATAAGAGAAAAAAAAAGGTTAAAAAGGGAGAAAACTAAAAGCTAGCCCAAACATACAGTCCAATAAAACCCATCAATTCCAAGCCCAAACAAGGAGAAGCAACAATCCAACACTCGTGGAGAACAACCAATTTTCGTTCAGAACTGATTCTGCACCGTTTGGAGATGGGGCTGGCCCAACCGGCCTAATAGGAAGGTCCTGTGGAGCTTTAGTCCCCTGGGGAGCCTGGGCTGGGCCTGGATTAGTGGGCCTAATGGACCTGGGCACCCTTATGTCCACCTTCTGTCCGGCTTGGCAATGGCCCACAAAGCCGCATATGTAGTAATAATGGCCGGGGTTATGAATGGTGATCGAGTCGTTGCCCGTGGCATAGGTGGCCATGGGAGCCGCAGGAGTGCACGAGTGGAAATCCGACCGGCTTACTTGCATCACGTTGTGAAATGCTTCATCGTACTCGAAAACTAGACACGAANNNAAAAAAAAAAAAAAAAAAAAAAAGATTTATTCATTAACTTTTATAATACGAAAAAATTGATAGATTAATTCAACAAGCTCCATTGACCATAGACATGAAAATCGAGTCACAATAGCAAGAAAACAAATTGAATAGAGGCAAACACAAAAAAATGCAAAATAAATTAATAATTTCACGCCTGAGTGCGAATTTATCTTTTCAAAATCACTATCTTATTCCAGACTTGAACAATGAAAATGATTTGAGTGGGATTTTAAAATTAAAAAATACTCAATTTTACGTAAAATTAAATAAAGTTGTATGTACTAACCAAGAGTGTCACCAACTTTGAAGGTCTTTGAGGATGCCCATTGGTTATAATCCACATTGCCAATTATAGTCCACCCAACACTATCACCAACTTTGTACACAGAGCCATTGCAAAAACCACAAATACCCACAAAAATCAAGAGCAACACAATTTCCCTTTTCAACAAAGCCATGCCTGAAAAGCAACAAGTACAAACAAATTATGATTATATAATATATACGAATAAAAATTAATTTGGAAAAATTAGAAACGAAGGGGAAAACAAATTTAGAAAACATTGATCTTGCAAGCCCATTATATAAAGGCTAATTTGGTGGAAAGTGACAAGTAATTTCAGGTGTAAATAAAAAATAAAATAAAATAAAACTAGCTCACAATATGTGCATGAGTGTGAGTAGGATTTGTTATGCCCCTTTTTGCATGTTATTTTTTCTATTTTTCTGACTCATGTGTTTTTGAAGGTGACTAAAGGACAAGGAAATGGTCTTATTGTGATACCATATGAAGGGAAAAATCAAAATCATGACCCTTTTTTCTGACCCATCAAAAATTTGTGCAATGCTAGGCTGGATTTTAGAACAGGTCTTCCAATAATACAGAATCTTTGATACACATCCACCATACATAAAGTGTGATAATGAAATACTTGACTTCATATTAAAAAATAAACTATGATTGTATTGTATTAAATATTACTCATAATACAATGCTTGTAAATTCAAGAAATTAAATATGCTGGATTATAAAATTTACTGAAATGTCTCATACCTGGATAGTTAAAAATTTAATTTCCTCTATATATGGAGCTGTTTATCTTCAGATGTGAGAACTGAAAAAAATATGTAAAAAGCGCCCCTCAAATATATTCATGCCGATTATCGGTGGGATTGAGAGATTGGGCTCTATACAGCCCATTAGAACTATGGGTTGAAAGATTAGGCTAGATCTAGCCCATTAAACAGGTTTATATATAGTAATTATATAAGCCCAAACGTCATATATCCGGCTATCCCACTTGACCACGTGGTATAATTTATATTTCTTAAATTTTTATATTTTTATTTCAAATTGAATATGCCTTATATAAGTATGATACTCAATATCAAAGTATAAAGTATTAAGAATTAATCCTGCATATAAACTTGCTTAATATCGTTATACTATTAAGTGCACATGGAGGGACTAACTCATATACTTACAACTACATTGAAGATTGAACTCCACAATTGGAGCGAAGTAACACCTAACAAGTTCGATTCGCTCCTCATAACTAGTTGCTAGTGGAATGGTCAATAATTTGTCGTGGTTGAAATTGGTTACAAAAAGGTAAAAATTTGACCGGTGGAACAAAACTTGTTCTTTATTAATTTTAATGTATCTAATATATTCTAACATGATTATAATACATATTTAAAATATTGATTATGAATCATTATAATATCAACTAAATTAGAAATATATACTCACTATACGGTTTGTCGTGGCTTCAATTATCGATCTCATGAACTCCCCTTTCGGCTCATCCATCTTCCTATTTGTCATTAGAGCCGACTCGTTTGGAAGCCACTTCTATATTCACAAACCTCTCTCGCCAGCCACTGCTACTATTGAAGATGGAGACGCCCTGTCCAAGTTTTTCGGTCGATTCTTACTTGAGAGGCGTAGGGGTTGAGGGAGTTGACTTTGACACGACATAATGGGCATGTGTGGGATTATAAGGGCCCAATATCCCGATAACACATTTGTCCACGTATTTGCATATTTGAAGTCCATAAACGATATCTAACTAGAAAGTCATTCAAGACTTGATCGAAAACAAGTCTTTATTGAAGAAGCTATATTGGGTTGATTGCAAAAAATATTAGTTTGAAGTAGAAAATGGAAAGCTAAACGGTTGTCGTATACTTGCTTGAACGGCTCAAACGAAAAGACTTAGGGAAGAGAAAGAATTACAACATGAAAACATGGGTGGTATTGTATTGTATTATAGATACATAGATGAACCTTAATCTTAAATTAGGCCTAAACTCAGGCTACAATACAATCACTTTACATAACTAACACTATTATTGTCGCGTAGTTGTCTCGTGTTTCTCTCAATTCGGAGGCATGGCTAATACTATACGATGGCTTCACTTAATCTAGAGTCGTGACTAATACCATACAATGATATTTTTGTAGTATCTATTAATTTTTGTTAGTGTAGGTGTTCAGTTGAATGAACTCTTTTGCGAAGCTCTACAATATACACATACCATTTTAAATGACATCTAACACATGAAAACAAGCTCTAATCTTAAAAAGTACAAATAGAATGTCTAACTGTTAATCGTGTTGATCCATCATACATTTTTTAAAGTGTACGTATATTTTTTCAAGTAAGATTGTGTAATAATTAGAAACAATTATCGTCTAAAAATTGACTTTCCACGCTCTCCATATCCATGTCATCAAAACCAACATNCTCTCTCATTATCTTTTTGCATTCTCTGTAAGCACAACTTCGAAAGAAGAAGCCATCCTCAAACCACAGGCCCACAACATACTTGTTGAAATTTTATTATATTTTTTCAATATATCCAAACCCGATAAAATAGACTTGGAAGAATAAAACCTGAACTGTAATTAAAAAAAAAAAAATTCGAATCGATTATTCGCTTGATTTTCCATTTCCACTTCGATTTTATTGACCCTATAATGAAATACAGGCTAAATTAAGAAACCCTATGGCATAAATCTCAAAATAGGAACTTTATAAATAAATAAATAGTGAACAATTACGTTGCATCAAAATTCTTAGATTTACATATCTCAATCACCATCTCATCCAACGATAGCATGAATATGCCAAAAACTGATTTACAAGATACCCAAGTTAAGGGTATCAACTAAATTAGTTAGATTCTTATTGTATCTAACAATAAGAATGAAATAAGTCGAGTCATTTGATGACTCCATAGCAAAACTGTTATCAATATATTATTTTTTCAGAATTCGATTATCATTTGAGAAGCTCAGTTTTTCGGCTCACTCATACTTGAGCAATTTGGGAGATGACATTTTTTTAGGGGTTAAAGTCTTTTATTTATTTAGCGTTGAAATTTGTTTGCTAATAGCACGTTTGTTACATTAGATTAGATAAGATTAATATCCTTATCCAGCCTTAAATGAGCGTTTGTTTGCTTAGATTAGGGCCCGCGAGATTCCCTTTGGCCCGCGACTTTATCTGCCTTTATCTTGCTCTGCGCCGATAACTTGATCAGGGGAAGGAGGGCAAGATTGAAACTATCTTAACAGTGCTCTTGCTGTGAAATGACCTTAATCACCCTTATGTTTTTTAATTTGAGACCCATGTACCCTTGTTCCTACTCTTTTTTACCCTTCCAACCAGTGACCATTATTGTATACCTAAACCATATATATACTTTGTGCAGTATTTTCGACAGAGCAATCGGACAGGTGAGGTACTCATTTTATTATCTCCATTTTGTTGTTGTNTCATTTTTCTCAGATTTTGCGGTTTGAAACAGCCGCATTCTGGTTCGAAGTTAGGACATGATTTGTTGGGATATTCCTTTTACAGTTGAGAAATGATTTTTTTTTTATTTTGTTTTTTGGAAGGTAGAAATACTTTGTCTACGTAATACATATGGGAAAATCTATATCTATATATATATAATTACTAGCTGATGCATTTAATAAAACCTATTTTCATTTCCCTTCAAAAGGATTTACATTTTCTTTAATTAATTGCTCACTAATCTGCTAAAACTGTTACACCTTAATATATATATTTTTATTATTTATATTTTGGATCAGTTACTAAATTAATTTTAAATTTGGTAACAAGATATTCAAATGTGTAACGACTAATGTTGGATTTTAAAGTTGATTGACACATTCAGAGCTGTAACCGCTATATTTGGTTGCATTGTTAGAAGAAAAACATGATTGGCGCATATTTTTTTTTCTAAAAATCAGAAACACCAATATTTTTTTTATTTATGTTAATTTTCTAATATATGCAACAAATCTATAAATTATTTTATTCCTGGTACTAATGTAAACGTTGCATAGTTAAAATAAAATTTAAATCTCAATTAATTTTGAATGATAAAATAACTTAAGAAAAAGTAATAATTTTTATATGATAGAAGTGCATGTCTAATTAATAAATACAAACAAAAACGTGTTTTATATATGTGCAAATGCACAGGATCAAATGCTAGTTTTATAGTAATGCTTGACTTTTTGTTATTTTGTCACAGCCTGAATTTTCAACCTTTTTATTTGAGGTTTCAATTTTAGGTTATTCTCAATATAAGGCCTATTTTTACATTCTACTTTTCAATTTAAGACTCCAAATCACTTTGTATTTTGATATAATTATGTATACCAAAATACTCTTTTTTTTAATTTTAAAAAAAAAATATTTATTAAATAATTAAAAATGTATTTAGTAAAATTACTTTAATAAGAAAATTAATTTATTTGAGCTAAATTTATTTTGCATAAATGTAACAAATTTGGATTAATTTTCTTCCGAAGCTAGTTTTATAAATATAATTAATAATTGTATTATAGACATTAATTTTATATATCTTAAAAGTAATTTAAAATTTAATTTTTAAAATAAATTTCATTAAGCTTTTGCATAGAGGTAAATTATGAAATAAATATTTTATTATGTAATTTTACTAAAGATATGAAAAAAAAAAAGAAAAAAAGAAAAAAATTGACTAAAGATATTTAATATTTTTCATTATATGTATTTTAAAATATATTTTTTTTTTAAAAAAAAAGAGTATTGGGGTTTACATAATTATACAAAGTGATTTGGAGTCTTAAATTGAAAAGTATAATGTAAAAGTAGGTCTTATATTGAGAATAACTTAAAATTGAAACCCTCAAATGAAAAAGTTGAAAAGTCAAGCCTTATTGTGATACAATAACAAAAAGTCAAGCCTTATAGTAGAATTTTCACCACGGTACAATATTATTTCTTACCATGTTATAGCGCAAGATCGAAACGGGACTTTGTGGTGTAATCAAAGTACCTATGTTTATAAAAAAAAATAACAGATAATAAACAAGAAACCAAAAATAAAATAATTACAAGGGAAAAAAAATTCAACCATATTATCCATGTACAAATTTAATGATAAACACATTTCATGAAGTATGAATAAATGGTTACTGTATAAAATAAACCGGGTAGTATTTTCGAAAAATAATGTGTGCAAAATTTCATCATAAAAAATCATGCACCTTTGCATGCAATTTAAATAAATAAACAACTTTAATTGAAGGGCAATTTAGTCAAATGATCCTTTAATCCTACTTGTTGTCATAGACAACAAATGTATACCACACTATATTTCTACAATCTTATATAGTGTCAATCATGTTTAACAAACTAATGACTAATTTAATCTCTACAAGACAATCTAGATAACTTTAATCCAATCTCATCTTGCGTAACAAATGTGCTCTAAATGTATCTATAATCATGATATTACTGTATTCACCCGATAAATATTAAAGCAGAGTAGTTTCCTGGGATGTTAAAAGCACTTAAATAAATACTGAACAAACGAAAAAAACTAGCAGTAAGAACAAAAATGAAAAAGGCAAGCTAATTGTCATATATTCAAAATCACCAGACACCAGGCACCAAAAGCCAACACACAAAACACTAAAAAAATTAGAAAAGAAAAAGGAAACAAAAAAGAGAAAATTAAAGAAAGCAAGCCGAAACACACAGTCCCAGTCCAATTAAACCCATCAGTTGTAAGCCCAAATAAGTAGAAGCAATAGCCTAACACTAGCGGAAAACAGGGCATTTTTAGGAAGAATGGATTCTGCACCGTTTGGAGACGGGGTTGGCCCAACCGACTTGATAGGATGGTCCTGAGGAGCTTCTTCAGTCCCATGGGGAGCTTGGGCTGGGCCTGGAATAGTGGGCCGAGAAGAACTTGGCACCCTTATCTCCACCTTCTGTCCGACTTGGCAGTGGCCCACAAAGCCACAAATGTAGTAATAGTCGCCGGAGTTATGGATGTCGATTGAGTTGTTTCCGGTGGCGTAAGTGGCCATGGGAGCCCTAGGATTGACGAGTGGAAGTCCGATTGGCTTACTTGCATCACGTTGTGAAATGCTTGATCATACTCGAAAACTAAACACAAAAAGAAAAAAAAAAGATTTATTCATTAACTTTTATAATACGAAAAAAATTGATCGATTAATTCAGCAAACTCTCTATTGACCATAGCCATGAAAATCGAGTTACAATAGCAAGAAAATAAATTCAATAGAAGTTAACACTAGAAAAAATACAAAATAAATCAGTAATTTCACTAGCGTTTATCTATCGAAATTATTATTTTATTTCAGATTTGAACAAGATAATAAAATTTTAAAATTATAAAGTGTGAGGATAAAAAATTATATATTATAAGGTAATTAAAGAAAGTTGTAAGAACTAACCAAGAGTGTCACCAACTTTGAAAGTCTTTGAGGATGCCCATTGGTTATAATCCACATTGCCCATGATAGTCCACCCATCACTATCACCAACTTTGTAATACCTGGACAATTGAAAATTGAATTTCCTATATAACTTGTGTCTCTTCAGATGGGATAATTGGAAAAAATGTGTTAGGGTTAGGGGTTTATTTATACTAATTAATTAGTGTTGGAGAAGATTTCCTAATTAGGATTAGGAATGTGGCTCTAACTTCTGTCATGCCGATTGTCGGTTAGATTGAGAGATTGGGCTACAGGCTACTTGAGCCCATTAGAACTTTGGGTTGCCTATATAGTATTATAAGCCCAAATGTCAGGTTGAGCCGTACCTAGTAAACAGGCGGGTCATGCCAGGTCATCAAAGAGGGGGTTCCAAATCAGAAGCTACCACGTGGGAGTGGGCCCACTTGAGAAATGAGCCGCAAGACGTACAACGCGGTCTTCTGAACCCCACGTGACTGAGCTCCCGTGATGGAAGCTGCTTTTGCAGAGATAAGATTTT